AGTACGCCTGGGTGTAACGCTGCTCTCTAAGCTCTTGGCCAGCCTCGCCCTCTGTTCATGGCCCAGGCACTATAAAGATTAGTTTAGGCTTCCAGAATACTTACAGAGGTGCTCAGAGTCGTATGTAAGTCCATCTCTTGCGAAGAAGCCATCTTCTGCCAGACATGGTGGCACAGGTTTGTAATCCCAGCCAGCACCTTGAAGGCTGAGGCAGGAGGATTCCAGTGAGTTCAAGGCCAGCCTGGGATACATAAGCAAATTCAAGGCCAGCCTGAAGTACATGATGTGACCCTGTTTCAAAAAAAAAAGAAAAAGAGACTGTTTTCTGTGTCTGTCTTTCTGTCAGCTTTCCCAGAGCAGCTGTACATTATTGCTGTCACTTCGTGTTCATGGTAGCTGTGTGAAGCAGATCGTGCAGCTGTGCCATTTAGCACATGGTCAGGCTGAGACACCAGAAGGTCTTGCCCATTTTGGGGGAGGAGCCGCCTGACCCAGATCTGTCCATGGTCAGCCACTAGTTTTTGAAAGTTACATACCTAGCAAATCTGAATCTTTTGTCGTTTAGCACTTAGTTTTATTTTAACTCTGCTATTGTTTATACTCGGGCTGTACTGTCTGTTGTTACATGTATTCTTTTTCATTTGCAGTTTCGGGATCAAATCATTTTGAACATTTATGTAACTATCTTTCCCTACCAACCAACCTCATTTGCCTTTTTCAACGAAATAGTGAGATAATGAATTCGCTGATTGAAAGGTAATATGCACTTTTCTAAAAGATACTGAATAGCTACATGAAATCAACTTTAGTTTTTCACATATATGGCAGAATTCTTAATCTGTTGAAATTATAAGAATTAGGGTTTTGATAAAAGGGCGGTGAGGTAACTCAGCAGACTAAATGCCTGCTTAGGCAAGTGTAGGGATCAGGTTGGATCTCTGGCACCACATGCCACACTGGCTCCAGCCCGGTCACGCTGAGCCAGCCACTCAGTCCAAGCGTGGTGGCACCCGCCTGTAATCCTGGTGCTGGGGAGGCTGCACACAGGAGGATCACGATGACTCCAAGCTACATAGTGAGACCAAGTATCAAATACATTTTTTTAAAATTTGTGGCAAATTTGTGGGGATTTGTGGCAAAGGATTTGGCTTTTGGATAAGATTCTTGCCAAGCCAGTCAGCAGATTTGCAGAAAGGGAATAGTAGTAGAAATGTTGATTGAATTTTGTTTTTTGTTTTTTTTCTTTTTTGTATTGTAGGACAGGGTATACAGGGTCTCACTACGTAGATCGGACTTGTAGTGATCCTCCTTGTTCAGCCTCCCAAGCGTGGGATTACAGGCTGTGTCACCACACCCAGTCTCCATCAGCATCTCAGTGAAACCTGGGGGGTGGGGCCAGCACTGTTCCATAGATTTTTTTTTTTTTTTTTTTTTTTTGGTGGAACCGGGGATTGAACTTGTCAGGCAAGCACTTATTCTACTGAGCTATCTCCCCAGCCCCTGTTCCATAGATTTTTAAAGT